TACATAAATGATCAGCATGATTAGCTGAGTTCATTAAGCTATGTCCGTCTGTCTGTCTGTTTATATACGAACTAGTCCATCAGTTTTTAAACTATCATTCTGTAATTTTGCACCTATTCTTTCCTCACCAAGATGCTGCTCATTTGAAACGGTCGATATCGGACCACTATAGCATATAGCTGCCATACAAACTGAACGATTGGAATCAAGTGCTTGTATGGAAAACTTTTTAATTTGACGAGGTATCTTCACGAAATTAGGCACGAGTTATTGTTTGTTCGTATGACTATAGCATGTAGCTGCTGAACGATCAGAATTAAGTTAAGTAAGGAATCTTTGTATTTGTGAAGGGAATTATAGCTTCGGTGCAACCGAAGTTAACGTTTTTTCTTGCTGATCCAATTTTTGAGATTACAATTTGTTTTTATTTTTCTATCCACTATTTGAGATTAAAAATTATCTTTGTTTAAGAATTTCAGGATTACAAAATAAAAAAATTTAATTCCATTGTTACTTAAATTTTTTTTTAATGCATTAGTTGCAACCCTGCCTTTATTACATTATATTACATTACAGCCGGATCCGCTTGTGGAACAGCATAAAAAAGGTTGTGGTTATGTCATGGTTAGCGCCGACTTCAATGGTGCCATTAAAGTGTTTATCAATAAAACAAAGCCGAAACACAGCAGCTTACCGTACACAGCAATCGCAGACTAAGCTTACTTACATATTTAGCGCTGAATTTTATAGTTATTGATTAAAAAACAAATAGAAAAACAAAAAAAAAACAAGAAAAGTGATATTGGTTAAGATGGCAACGGCATTAGCGCCAATTACGAAGTTTAAAACTAAACATTTGTTTCGTCTAATAATAAAATAAGACTAATACGAAAGCTATTGTGACAATTAAAGAGAGTTCGTAGTAATACTATTAATGATAAAATATAAATTATGTAACTATGCCAGATGTGGCGCAAGGAGGAGAATTAAGTTTTCTCCAGATTTGTTAAAATATGCACCCTTATTATGGCGTTAAATCAAGAATAATTACCGTTCAAGAGAGTATTAAGTATTGTATATTATGCAGCTAATATTTATATTAAAGGAAATACACAAATCTTAGATGTATTTACTATGTTTTTGTCCGTACTTTATTTTAACCTATTTTATTGTGCGCTGCACTGCATTGTATTGTAATGCGAATGTGTTATTATCGATAAAAATAGCAAAAATAATGTAGCATATTGTTTTCAATTCTTGTAAGTTTCCAAATGTTTGGTTTTCAATTGAGGAATTCACACACACACACATACGTACTATGCTTCTACGTATTATTTATTACATTTAGTACACACGTGGACTAGTCTCGAAGCAATATACAACAAACACATATAAATAATTACAATAACTAACTCAAATCGAATTGGGATTAACTTAAAATGTCAATTCATTTAGATAGCACATTGCATAGCATTGCATTGCAGATTTGTTTACTAAGTTGTAAAGAAGCCAATTAACTATATGTATGTATTTATATTGCTAATAAGTGTGCATGTAAAGCAGGTGATTATGTAAAGATAAACAAAACATCATACAAAATAAAATGCAATTTATTTTATTTACAATAATAAAAGGCGTTTTAAACAATCGAATTTAACCAAGATGGGACTACAACTTGTGGATTGTGTTTTTTTATACCCTTAACAGGGTATATCCAGTTTGCAACACCTAGAAGGAAATGATCAGTGTGAACTAAGTCGATTTAGCCATGTCCGTCTGTCTGTCCGCCTGCATGTCCACGAACTAATCCCTTAATTTTTGAGATTATTATAGCATATAGCTGCCGTACAAACTGATCGATCAAACTCAAACTTTTTTATTTGACAAGATAATTTGGCATATATTATTGTCCAAGGCAGCGCTACAACCTTCGAAAAAAATCGGACAACTATAACATATAGCTCCATACCATTCTTGTATGCATAAATTTTTTTTGACGACATATATTCACGAAATTTGGCATGGATTACTGTCTAAGGCGGCGCAACAATCTCTAAAAAATTTCTTCAGATCAAACCAATATACAATAGTATATAACTGCCATACGAACAGCTCAATTAAAAGCAAGATTATCATTGTTCCGACATGAAATACGAAGATCTTCCTTGTAATTACTTAAATAGCGAGTAAAATCTTACGTACTAGTTTTTTTGTATACTATATATCAGTTAACTCCAACGACAGTCGGCATTCCGTTATCAGAACTATCCGTCCAAAAGCGGTTTTATCGTCGATCTAACTTTATTTGGATTGGTAAGTAGTAAATTAAATTTGTTATAACTTGAACAGCAACTAGCAGAAAGGCTGCTGTATACTTTCCTTATCCCGGCTGGCACTGAGTCCAATCCAGCCACGGAGGAATTTTTCTGCTGCGTACGCTCCAAATGGCTGCATCCAAATTTTTACTCGGTAAGTATGAACCTTTTGTGTCGGGTTCACAGAATTATGTTAACTGAGAACTCCTTTGCTGTCTACCCCATTCCTATGGATATAATAGTTGATGAAAACGATCGCAGCTGATAATGCTCCCAGTTAAAGCAGCGGTCATAACAAATGAGCGCAATGATTAATGCAAGATCGATTCCAGTGAACTTCGCAAAAAGGATCTCAATTTGGAGATGAGACAAATTTGAAACAGCAGCAAGCGGATTAAATTTGTAATGTATTTGAGGTCTTGTAATATCTCCCATGATGTGAGTAAGTTCTGAACAACCGTAAAATCTTTATTCCACCTGTGGAAGCTGAAGGAGTGTTGAAATTCAGTTCGATGGTTATGACTCTACGGTCCAAAGAAGTGCGCAAGCTATTTGATTGATTTTGTAATTTACATTTTTACATAAAATGCCAAGCAAGAGGGCACCGCTTACTTTCATCAAAGAGGTTAAATTTTACTAGAAGAGAGCAAAGGCTTACGAGTCCAGATCGAGAAAATGTATATGTTCTGCTAAAAAACTTAGCTCAGCGGGACTAAACTAACTAACAAAGGTACTGAAAACGCTTCAATTACTCGATATGTGTATAATTTTATTTTATTTTATATAATTGATTATTTTTAAAAATTATGGACTGGCAATATGCGACGTCGAGTTGAAGAATTGAAGTCGGGATTGTCTTAAGTATCGATTTAATGTTTCAGTCAGATTTCTTGGTTTACTTTTGTACACCTCTTGCTTGACATAACCCCATAAAAAAAAGTATGGTGCAGTCAGGTCAGGTGACCTTAGGAGCTAGCGGAAGGTGGAGTTTCTTGATATTAATTTGTTTTCAAATTTTCGTTGGAGCTCCGCAATAACCGATCTGGCTATATGTGCAGTAGCTTTATCTTGCTGGAAACAAACGCTATTGAAAGAGATACGTCTTCGGCGCAGTTCTGGGTAAAAACCTCATTCAACATCTTTAAATAACGGTGGCCATTGTCTGCAAAGAAGTATGGCCCGACAATACACCTTGATGAAACTGCGCACCACACAGTGACTCGTGCTGCACTCCTCTTCAAGCAGTTTCTGCTAGGCAATTTTCGTAGAAATCACCCTTGCAGTAATCAGCTTGGAGGGGAACCGCCGACTAGGAGAATCAAAAGGTCATTCCTTGATAACATGATTGACATAGAATAATACGTCGATCAGACTACGGTCGCCACTAACTTCAGACACGCACTGAACGTCATTCATAGTGAAGCTATTAAAACCTTCCCAGTGAATTGCGTTTTTGGAGCGAAACCACTATCAATATCAGACGAAGAGCTCAAGTTGCCTCGTGAATCTAGAGTGACCCTTGCGTAACTTCGTTCTGGATATGGTAGTAGGTTAAACTTCTTTTTTCCAGAATTGACCCCGACATTATTAATATATGTCCTGCGTGTAATCGCCACAACAACTACATGACATGAAAACATAGATGACATTGAAAAATCTACACTCAAGCTCGTGCTTAACATATGGACTACGACTTAACTGAGCGATGACCAACATTATTCTCTGCTAGTAATCTCACACTCTCGGCTAATAAACAGTGACTCTTTTCATTGACATTATTTTCCATGATGCCAATATTTCAATACTTAAATTCCAAAATTTGAGTTTTGTCAATTTTATACATACTAGGTAGTAAATAGGCTGTTATTGAGGAAAAAAGTTATACTTTTTTTTTAATTATCCATTTAGTTTTTACAAAAAACTGTTGTTGCAGACATGCAATATGACGTCATCTTTCAGGAGAACGAGCAGAGCCGGCTTTTCCTCCTTTTATTTTCAATGCGACATTCAACATCACTTTTGCGCTTCAAAAGTCTGACCATCTTATATTCGTTATATATCCGTTAGGTGACCAAACTATTATACTCTGTAGCAACTGGTGGCGAGAGTATAATTACGTTTAAACCACTCCGTAGACCTTTAAACTTCACCAGCGTGTAACAAAAAACTGAGACGTAGCAATCTATTACTTTCTTCGGATAAAATGATCAGGACAATCTCTTCTTTCCAAAATTGCTGTCTCATCGTTGCCGAAAAATGCCTGTTGTATTGTGTTATTAATATATAGTCACTCACCTTTTGCTCACACTTATTTTAAATAGAAATATGCTCTCTTTTTTAACAATAAATTACTTATCATAAACAAATCTACTTTCTACACGTGCGTCACTTTAATGCGATTAAAATTAAATAATCATCAGTCAGAAATCTTTCAGTTTACCGATATAATGCTTTGTTGCTGATGTACATCACCGTGCAAAGGCGGTCTATTAACAAGTGCTGTATTTATATTTTTACTTGAATAGTATGTTGCAGAAGTGCAGCAAGTTTTGATAATGTGCTCAATGTACAGAGCGGTTCTAAGTCCCAATATCGTCGCTGCCGCTTAGTAGGATGCAGAAATCATCCTTGCATCCGTCGAACATTTACAACGTCTCTTTCACCTTTATTAAAAAAAAAAACAGCTTTCAAAATTGTTAAATAAGCAAACTTTTTTATTTCAGTATTAATAAAAATAAATGTACAATGAAAAATGCAAATGTATCTCATATACAGAGAGAATAAAATATAACAAATGTTTAGGGAATGTTTAATAATTCACACCTTCCATTTCCCGTGCAACAAACCGAACATTATGAATATCAAACAAAATAATGAAAGTTCAAGTATAAAATATTAAATAAACTTAGTTATAAAATTAAATTTTTGGGTAATTTTATGCCCATAGGTTACCCTCCTATAATGTAATTAATTTTCCAATTTAAGTTTGCATATATATTTCTAAGCATTTTTATAAGAATAGAAACTATCCTGTATAAGCGGTTGGTAGATGCGAGCGTCCTTCTGTTTACGTGCATAAGTGTCGGGATCGTATAAATGCACCTCTATGATATCATCCACGTTCTGTTGATAAGTCCCAGCACCAGTGATCGCACCTGAAGCAGTGGCTGAGCTTAAATCGCCAACGTCATCTAGAAGCATGAAACTTGTCATACTTATGGCTGTCGAGTTGTCAAGCCGCTTCGGCTCTTTTACAATGCGCGCGACCAAAGTGCGCTTGAGTACAATATTCTGCAAAGCTTGTCGTATGTCCTTTTCACGTAGGCGCGGATTCGGTATCATACCATGGAGGCGAGCGCGTATGGTGCGCAATGGCCAACTGAATAATTCGAGCGGACATTGTTTGAGTTGTGTGACCGACACTGATGCCGTGTTCAAGTAGTCAACGAAGAGCACATCCACTTGCTTGCCGACGGGATTGTAGGAGCGTATTAGGGCGCGATACCATTTCTTGTCCTTATGGTATTGTGATAGGCAAATGGTGCGCGGTTCGTATTCGGTGAGCAGTGGCGCTGACTTCACTAAATGTTTAATGCGTCTTTGCAATTCCAGTTCGCGATATTCGAATTCGGTGAGATGTGGTAGAATTTGTACAATTGTCGGTGTAACAATAAAGACAACGCTGCATTCGAAGGAACGTTTACCCACTGGTATTTGTGGCATTTTAAAACATTCGATGCCACTTAAGTGAGAGAACACCGACGACGTTTCATTGGGACAGAATCCATCGAATGCAGATGTTTCCATCACCTAAAATGTTCAATAAGAAAACATTAAGAATTTTTATAGTAAGGAATTCAACTACATTAAAATGGCATTGGAATGGAAAAATATTGAGAGGGCAATTCTATATTGCACACCGTCGTTAGAACACCGACACGATAAACAAAAACTCCAAATAACAGTTTCGGTTTGAAACTTTTGGTGTGTCGGACTATGCGCTAACTAACATTTCTAATTTTTATTATTTATACCCTGAAGGAAACGTCGGCGCCCATATACAAGTAAAATATATATATAATATTATATAAGTGATCAGCGTGACGGATTTAACTATGTCCGACTGCCTGCTGTATAATGTTTTGATTACATATTCAAATATTTTTCGATTATTAAAATTCCTAAAGATTAAATTTACATTTAAAAAGTATATCACTGTGGGTGATTTAGAATACTTTGTAAATATTATTTATTACTTAGGAGATTGTTTGGTTTTATATATTCATTTTGGTTTTTGTTTAAGTTGATTATTTCGACATATATTGTTAATGTAATTACTATTCATGAAGTGTACCTGCTTTTATATATATATACTTTCTTCTAGTTATATTTGTTATGAAAAGTAGATTGATTTAAAACTGTATATATTATATAAGTGGATAAAGGCACCAAAGGGAACCGAACACCCAAAAAATAGCGGTAACGCGCTTACATTGCATCCTCAGAGGTGGTTAGGAAAAGCAATAAATATGTAATAAATTTTTTTCGAAAATATTCTTGAAACTTTCATTAATGTTTTCCATTACAAACACCTGTTGCTTTTATTTACATCTCTGTGTCAAAAAAAGGCAGATTTCGTTCAGGGGATCCCAGTTGTATAACACACATAGGAAAACAGCTGATTCTTTTGTTACTTGTAGGATTATACAATGCCACCGCTTCTACTGTCCGTTTCTACAGACCATACGGTAGGATATCCGCGAAAATAGGATTTTTCCCGTAGAAACGAGTCAGCTGATTGCTCTCTTGCAACGGAGGGTTGACAGTTTCGATATTTTGTAGCAATTAAAAAATAAACTTGTATATATGTATTTGAAATATTCTTAAACTATCTCAAAATCGCAGTCGAATACATTTATTTATAAATAGGTAGACTAATTTTAATAAAAATTATAACTTAAAAGCTAAATGTGCGCAAAACCATCTATGTTATATAAATTGAGCAATGGCAATATTGCTCAAATGAAAATAAACGAGAACAACTGATTTCTACGTTGCCACTACGTTCATAACTGTCGACAACTTTGTTTAATAAGGGCGGTAAGTACGGAAGGTCAGAACGTCGTTGACTTTTTCCAGCATAACGGATCAGTGCTCGAGTATGAACAAAAATGTATTACCCGTTGCAGTTATCTGATACACACATAATTTCACGAATAAGCCTATGACCTGTATTAGAGGAAAATTTAAATTTGTGGAGAAATATATGTAAGATGTATAAGTAGAAACTGTCTCTATCTATAATTATCTCTATAACAAATGGCAAAATTAAAATTCTCAAAACCCAACTCACTGAGTTCGACCGCTGGGAAAGGCCAACGTGGTCGTGAGTTTCCAATTCTCTTCCTATAATTTTTTCCTGTTCATTCGTTGTTTTTTCTTTCTCTTTATTTTTATCTTTTTGCCGTTCGGTTTCGTTAGCGGTATGCCAATAATTCAGCGCAAAACTTTGCTCCAACTCAACAATGGCGGCATCTTCATCATCCTCCCCAATTCCCCAACTGGCAGCAAGAGCGCCGGAACCTCCAGCGTCAGCGACATCGTTATCACATTGCATCGCGGCCAATTCATTTTTCATGAAATTTTCGCTGCCATACAAATTTTCCAGCAACATTTGCTTATGCAATTGCTTGTACTCATTTGAGTCGAACATGCGTTTCTTACAGGGTGGCGTAAAAGAGTGTTGGGTTGGTTTTTGATGCTGTTGCAAAGCTAATTGTGCTGCCTGCAATGGTGAGAGCGCATTATTTAATTCATCATTAGGACTGTCATCACTATCCGAATGATTAACGCCTTTGTCCAAATTGTATATCAATTGATCGAGACAATCATTGACTGTATCGTCATTGTTGTCGCTTCCATCATCGTCGGTATCTTTATCGCTTTTGTTGTCCTCATTTAGTTCAAAAAAGTCGGGTTTAATGTGCTTGAATTGGAACTGTATCAAAGAAGTAGAAAATCAAATTATAAATAAACCTAGATATATTATGTATAAATATAATTTTTTAATTATAGCAATTTATATAAGTAAGGATCGTTTCGAAGACGATTACAAAGGATATTAATTTAAATTATTATTATTATTGTTGCTGTCTAAGAGGAAAACTTTCTGATATTAAGATTATCTACTGATAAGTAAACGGAATTTTTTTTGAGTACGAGGGTCTGATCTGTTGATCAAATACTGAATAGAAATTTCTGCAGCATTCTCCCTGATGAACCAAATTGTACGATTGTCACGAACGTATAATATCGGATAATCTTTAGTTTAATACCGAAAATGTATGAAGTAAGTCCCCGAATTGCCCCAGCTTTCATACAATGATTTTCGTTAGTCGAACATGTCAGTCCTAACATGGCAACCTTAGCTTTAACCCATGCTAAATTTCGTTAAGATATCTCGTCAAATGAAAAAGCTTTCCATACAAGCACTTGAATCCGATCCTTCAGTTTGCATTGTTGCTTTAGCCGAATTTCGTTAATAAATCTTACCAAATCAAAAAGTTTTCTATACAAGTACTTGATTTCGATCATTGAGTTTGTATGGTAGCTATATGCTATAAAGGTCCGATATCGGCTTCTTGGGGAGAAAAGAGCGTGTGTAAAATTAAACTATCAAAAAAAGATCACCGGAAATATTCTTGGAATAGTCTTCAGAAGACTACAGTTTCCCATTTTAACTTTTTCGCCATATCTATATAATTCCCACAGCCAAAAATATCATTTTTCGGTTTAGTTTTTAAAAATTCATTTTTTTCCATTCACAAATATTTATAATATAATCTATTGGTTTCTTATACTAGCAATAACGTTACGTCTTTATTTGTAAATAGCCATAGAAACGCATGGCCGGATCTACTAGTTATTTTATAGATGTAACTTACCATTTTTTCCGCTTCCATTATGGGCAACCCATTGTCATCAATTGTAAGTGCATCACAGTTATCCGTAGTCGATTCAATATCAACAATTACTTTCAAATCTTTATAACTAGGCTTGAGCTTATCTCTCACCTTTTTCTTATGAGATCGATCGGAGAGCAAAACATCTCGCTCAACATGTCCAGCGCTGATGAGATACTCTGCAACATCCATATTACCTACACGCATACTACATGCCTTTATCGGATTTTGTAGCTCTGAAATGGCCACACGTATGGAAACCAGTTTTTCAACAACTGTAACATGTATGATGTCAAGTACATCTGTCGTGTAGACGCCATCGACGGATTTGGCACGTATCCCCTCGATGCGATATTTGTGTGCTATGCGTGGTAACTTCGGGAATGGCGCAAATGGAAGTAAGTCGTGCAATTTGACCGACTCCACATTACCATAGTCAATGAATTGTACAATAAAATCATCTTTTTTCTTTTTTTGTACGATACCACGGTAAAGACGTTTATCCACATGATAACGCACTAAGCACGCCTGGTCCGGTGTATATATGGGTACAAAAGTTGTTGGCAATTCATAGTTACCATAAGTTTTCATAATTCTCTCTCGTATATGTTGTAGTAGAGCCTTATCATTGGCATCATGTAAATAGACAATGGCTTCATAATCCACATATGTTGGTATGGCGGCGAAAATTGACTTATCAATTGGTTTCGACTGCAGCCAAGCCTCTGGTGTCTTCGCATTGAAAACTGTGGGCTCGCCGCAGGCCTGACTATCTACTGCGTTGTCTAAGGTGAAGTCCACGTCAGGTATATGTTTGGTATCGTGATCATCAGTTTTCATAGACTTGTCAGAGTCGAAGGCGTTAAAAGCATTCGTAAGACGCTGGGCACGGCTATCGATTTCTGTAATTAAGAACATAATATAACCAATTTATGATTTTAAAATATGGTTATGATATGAAATTATTGATTCATGAAAAATAAATTGTTTATAGATTTACACCCTTTTTTTTAAAAGGAACTGGTATATAATTACCGGTCTATTAGCCAAGACTACTATAACAGTAAAATGCATTGCGTATGGCTACTGATTTCAGTATGCTTAAAAACTTCTTCAAAAATTAACATGTGCGTTGGTGACAAGAGACGCCACTTAATCGGTGCGCGTCAGCATAGGTAATCTTTATTATGTAATCCTAACTATTATAAGAACACATACAGCACACTGATTTTTAATAATTACTTATGTCCTCGGAAATATGTTCAAATATCCTTGAGCATATTTATCTTACCGAGGCAATACCTTATATATATTTACATATATACATAACCAAATAGAAACGAACCCTAGAAGAAACTGCTGATGGGTTCACCAATGCACTCACATTTATTATGTCAGTACTGACAGTCAAATGATCAGTAAAATGACTGCCAATGTTAACGATTTTTTCAAATGCAAATTCTGTATACGTCGAAAAGAGACGGCATACATTTCCATAGAAGATTCGGGAAGTTGTGAAATACCTATGTAGCTGTTATTTCGTGCGATAAAACAAAAGTGTTGCGTGCTCCTGTGCAATAACAATTTTTGTTTTATTAAAAATAAATAAATAACGAAGGAGTTTTGAAATATAAAATACGTAAGTTATCATTAAGTTTAAAATAAAATTATATTTTTAGTTATAGTATAATTTTTATTTAGGCATTTTTAAATTCCGAAATATTCATGAACTGGAGAAATACGTAGAGCAGAGCTTTCGAGAGAAGCAAGCATGGAAACAAGTGAAAATTTATTTTCATAATTTATTATTCAATTGTTACACTCTTTTTTATACTCTCGCAACCTGTTGCTACAGAGTATAATAGTTTTGTTCACCTAACGGTTGTTTTTATCACCTAAAACTAATCGAGTTAGATATAGGGTTATATATATATACATGATCAGAATGAAGAGACGAGTTGAAATCCGGGTGACTGTCTGTCCGTCCGTCCGTGCAAGCTCTAACTTGAGTAAAAATTGAGATATCTTTATGAAACTTGGTAGACATGTTTCTTGGTACCGTGAGACGGTTGGTATTGTAGATGGGCGTAATCGGACCACTGCCACGCCCACAAAACGCCATTAATCAAAAACAAATAACTTGCCATAACTAAGCTCCGCAATAAGATACAAGACTGTTATTTGGTACACTTGATCACATTAGGGAGGGGCATCTGCAGTTAAAACTTTTTTTAAAAAGTGGGCGTGGTAACGCCTCTAATAGGTTTAATGTGCATATCTCCTAAACCGCTAATGCTATAATAACAAAATTCACTAGAAGCAAATGTTTTTAACACTTCTATTGACGGTGTGAAAATAGTTGAAATCGGGTGGCAACTCCGCCCACTCCCCATATAACGGTACTGTTAAAAACTACTAAAAGCGCGATAAATCAAGCACTAAATACGCCAGAGACATTAAATTTTATCTCTGAGATGGTATAAATTGGCTTTGTAGGAACCGCGTTCAAAATTAGTCAGTGGGCGTGGCACAGCCCACTTTTAGGTGAAAATCCATATCTTGAGATCTGCTCAACCGATTTCAAACAAATTCGGTGCATAACGTTCTTTTCATGTTTCTATGTCATAGTGCGAAAATGGGCGAAATCGGACTACAACCACGCTTACTTCCCATGTAACACCATTTTCAATTCCATCTGATTCTTTCACTTTCCACTATGCAAATCAGGTAACAATGATTATATCGGGGTAAAACTTTGCGTGAATAATGCAATTAAAGTATGCCACCTTGCGGCCAAAAATTGTCTAAATCGAACCAAAACTGTCCAAACCCCTAAGTACTAAATATATGGACCCCATTGCCTATAGTTGACCTTCTACCGAAAATATCAGTCAATCCACAAAGAAATCTCAAACGAGTATACCATTTGACATTGCGAGAGTATAAAATGTTCGGTTACATCCGAACTTAGCCCTTCCTTACTTGTTTATATATATGTATATTATTATAAATAATTTAAATTAAAAGTTTTGAATTTATTAAAGAAATAAAAATTATATTATCTACTGCACAAAAGAATTTTTCACTTGTGATAGATTTACAATATTATATTTTCACAAAGTATTTAAAGTCCAACGATTTTTAGAAGATATACTAAATAAATAAGAAATGAAGTATTAATTTTTTCATCAAATATATTTATTATACACCAAAAATTATGACTAGTCACTTAGTTTCTTATAACCGGGCGCCAATTGCCATGTATATTGAAAGTTTTAGTAGCGGTAACTATACTTGCGTTAGTCCTCAAACATATTAGAGATGTTAAATGAGACTACTATTAGTAACTGACCTCTACATACTTTTTCTTAAGCCTAACAAACACTCACCTTTCAGTGCGGCATTGCTCGCAAAATTCTTATTCCACTCCTCCATGGTAATCTCACCCTCTGCAAATTCCATTTCTAACAATTTATCCAGCTGTTCTGTTAAATCTAAACGTTGTACGGAATATGCGAGACCAGCTTTCACTAATATACGATTGATTATCGAATGCTTGGTAATACAAGGCGCTAACGGATCCTCGGTTTCAGTGATTGTACCCCAAAGCACGATGGGCAATGAGTTGGAACCTGGCATACGTTTGCCTTGTAAAGTGGCCGAAAGGGACTCAAAAGAGCTGACGGTGTGGTTAAAGCAATCGATGGCGGAATGTGACCAAGCAGTAATACCGCCAGTTGGCTCAACGCAAGCCAAGTGACAGCGATGTACGGCATTTGTTACACAATCCCATTGATGATCTATAACCCGAAGTTGTGCACAGGTAATATCTGAAATGGTAGCACCAATATCTCGTAGAAAAACGGTATACAAATCAGCTTCGAAGTCGGCATTTATTGAGATAATAATAGCGCGATACCATTCGTTTGGGCTGGACGATTGTGTAGCGTGCGCATGCTTGGTAAGATCACTTTTATATTTTGTATGAACCAAACAGTGATTACCAACAAACCAATTGTTTGTGCTTTGTGAACCCAACGAGAAACTTGATGTGTTCGATTGATCTTCATTTTGTGCTTGCTGCAGTTGATTGTGAAATTTAGCAATGCCCGTTGTGAGACTTGCAATTTGTATGTAGAACTCGCCAGGATCCACGACATGTACAACCTTGACCGGTGTACGTTTGAGCACTTTCACAGGTTTGCTACTTTTCGCCGTTACTGCATTGTTGGCAGTCTCTTGACTGTCCTGTATTGTGACATCACCTTTGCCCTTGATATTGGTATTGACTTGGCTGAACTGCGCGGCATCTGTTATTGCATTAGTCGGTAAGATCATGCGTTTCTTTGGCGTTTTGTAGACTTCTACCACTTGAGAACTCTCGCCAGTCGGCACGCAGTGACCGTAGCTAACGAGCATGGCTCCAATATTTATATCCATATGCTTTTTGCAAACATGCAATGTGACTCGCATTGTTGCTTGATTTGTAGATAGTATGGTCATTTGTAGTGTAGGATTGGCAGCCAATTGGCGAAATTCGCATATGGCTTCGGATGTCCAAGCGTAGCTATTCTCTTGCAATGGTTCAACATCTGCCAATGCACATTTAACGGTAAACTCTTTTTGCGCGCGGAATTTATTTAAGAGCGGAAAAATGTGACGCCAATTAACTTCGTGTTGTGAGCCCTCGTCTACGAGGAGCACAGTAATTTTCCCTACCATGAAAGTACATAAATATTATAAGGGGAATTTATAATGAAATATAGTCACATATCAAGCTTGGTGTTAAAAAAAATTGTTTTACATACCTCCTCCGCGTATTCCCTCAATCCGGGCTCGGTGCCATATATCTTCGATGCGCACAGCGCAGCACATTTGTGGTAATGCTAAAAAAACAGGTAGCAATGTCACATTCGGTTGATTGTATTGTAAGTTTAAGTCGGCTTTCAATGTCTGTGCCATCTCAATAGCGTCCAGCTAGAATATAATACGTTTTAATTTTACTTCTTACAAATGTTTCTGCACTTGTTGGCTTTGGGAATGCTTCAAATACCTTCATGGTGTAGAACAGATGAGGACTTTCTATATTTGTCACTTTTACGACCAACATATCTCCATTATGAAACGAATATTTTGGTAGCCTTTGATTGGTACGCGCCATGGGAGATATTTTCTAGAAAGAAATTCAATTATTACTTAATGTATATCTATAAAAAAATATATGTAAATATGTTTGTATGTATGACTCTGATATGAGTTTGCTCAAAGAGCATTCCAAGAGGTCACAGTGGCTAAGTAGCTGAAACTTGTTCAAAAAGCGGCTTTCATCGGTATCTGGGTATTTTGATGATCCCAGAGAGGAGCACTCTGATATCCTCCATAATTGCGACTGAGTGGCTGCCATAAAAGTCGCAGTAGATGTATTCTCCCGAATTGCAGCCGCCTTCAGAGAGGTGAGCATTCACTCTATAGGTAGAGCGGCAACACAATCGATATTAGTCGAGTGTTTCAGTTGCCACAGTGGCATCCTCGCGGCTTTTGTCCCGGACCTATTCTAGATTAAGCGTGTTATTTTAGATTTATTTATGTTATGTTAGATTTGAACGAACGAGGGATGATAATTTTAGAATTAATCTACTCTAACTTTTTTGCACGTAAAACTCGTTAACTTTACTATGATAAGTTGATTCTTAATGTAGCGCTTGCATAAATACAACAAGATAGGTTATTTTGAAGTATTTGTTACCTTAAGTGGCGATGGTAAATTTGCTGCACCTGACATCTCCCGCGCCAGGCCAGTATATAAAAAAGATTCTCGAACCGAAATCGCTTCTACACATGACGTTGTAATCAGATCTACTGAAAGCATATTCTCTTTGATGCGTTCGACAATGCTGACGCGCACGAAGTGATTGTTTGTAATTTCGACTAACAGATTAGAGGCTTCTTCACTCCATGACTTTCCAACTGGCATTATGTCATGTATGGCACAGCGTATAGCTGCAAAGGGAATGCTCAGCGATTTACTATCAATTTCGCAGAATCTGTAGGAATAAGAGTTCCAAAAAAACAAATTATAGTGGCCTCTCACTTAAAAAATAAAAATAACAAAAACTTCAAACGCACCGCGTTTTTGGCACTTCGATCTGCATGCCAATATCTATTAAAAACACCTTATACAGATCTTTTGTTAGGTTTTTTTTGACCATACCGCGATACCATTGCTTATCATCGCTATGGTATGTCATGTAGTATTGACCCTCAGTGATAACTTTAGGAATTAAGTCGGTTTGCATGAAGTTCACATATTTATTTGAGAGTTCACGTATTTGGGAGATCGCAGTCTTTGTTTGCACGAAGAAATGTTCCGGCGACTTTACATAACTGATGCGCACCAACTCTTTATCCCGTAGCAAATGACCTTGGGATTCAGTGTCTGACATTTTGTTATTCGAACCGTCTTCGTTGTCATTGCGTCGCAGTGTTTTTTGTTTTTGCTTTTTATTACGTTCGTTATTTTTGCGTTTGTGCTTCTCAACGTAGCAGTCCACATCCATTTGATCAGACGAATCGGATTTTCGATCAGGAAAGGAATGGTTATCGCCATATATGGGTTGCAAACGAACGGTAATCGTAGGATCAATATATTGATAGGTGAAGAACTGTGAAAAGTCTTTGCGCAAATCCTGTTTAATCTCAAAACTGAAAATAAAATAGGTTTGAGTTAAAAGCGGTGGATAATTTTATTTACTGTTTTAGATAATCTCTTTATTTTAAGCTTGAAAGCTCATTTACATGAAAGGACTTTTGGTGAGTTTCGAAATTTGTACGCGGCAATCGATTTGCTCCAGCTGTGTATTGTAAACATCAAATACTTGACGTAGATATATATCGGTTGGTACTTTTTGTTGATATTGCTCCAATTGTGAGCGCATTTTCTATTTGAAAAAACATTTTTTAAATATGGTGTAAAAGTGAGTTTTTGAAACCCTTTTATGTACCTACATTTAAAATGCTCTGAGTTTCGCCGAGTTTTGAAAATGCATCGCGTATAATCTTTTGCGGCTCCACACATTGGTTATGGAAGTCTTCTAATATGCGCGCTTCTTCATTTTGTAAAAAACTGTGTAATTGTAGAAAATACTCAGATATGTCTTTGAGGCACTGAGTGGCATATTCTTCGAGCTGGAGTTCAATGGCTTTGACATCCTGAAGTAAATATGTAAAATAATTGTTTATAAATTAACTGCTAATACATTTAAAAAAAATTGAAATTAATTACATGAATGTTAATTGCCACCATAGGCTTTGTGGAGGTATGCGAAGCAGGTCTACTTGGTTGCGATAACATCGTTATTCGGCTCAAATTTCAGACAGTTAACTCTTTTATGTTGGGAAACAAAAAAAATAGATAATTCGATCGAGATTATTCGACCGATGCGTTGTCATGATAGAAGATCACAAAACATAAGAAACATTAAATTTAACATTAATGATAGCTCGGAAGGCCTGCAAACAACTCAGTATAAATTAGATAATTGGTATGGCGGCGCGTAACTTTAGTGAAATTTATATATCTAGTTCTTCTGATCTGACCAATTTCAATCAAACCACGTCCACTTTCCATTTTATACAATTTTATGTTCCATATCATTATTTCACCTTAAAGTATATAAATCAAGCACCAATGAAGATGTAGAAATATACTCCTTTGCACAATTAGTGACTTCAAGGTAGGCTATCTCTCACCCGAAAATAGTGGAAATCGGAGAACTTTTCAAGCACCCAAATATCTTAATGATAATTTAAAGGCAATATTTCCTGAAATTAATGTTTTCTGGTACCAAAAATGGATAAAATCGGGTCAATATTTCGATTTGCCCCCATATACATTAGAGCGGGTCGATCCACATGGTCAAAAAAAAAAACGGAAAAATTCTATATACGAAAAATTTACTACCATTCTGAATAACTTTGCTTAAGAAACTATGGCTCTAAAATCGATTTCGAGTTTTTTAAAGTCGAAGTTTAAGGAATTATAAAACTTTGTTTGTCACTTTTTAAGATATCCGAATGAAATTTGATACCCAGGTTCATATTGATATTGTATTGATCATTCATGGGAATCGGACAAATCAGACAACTATAACATATATCTTTCATACAATCGATTATTCAGCTGTTTTATATTTTGGTATAATACCTTCAATTAATAAGCTAAGAGCAAATAATTTTGAAGAATAATATATACTTAACTCTAATATTCATTATATATACTTAACAGTGACAGTTAAGAAAAAAAAAAATGAACAACTATAACATATAACTTCCATAAAACCGATTGCTCAGAAACTATATTTAAAGATAAATTAAATCAAACAACAGTGTTTTTTTAATATTTATTAACTATCAACTTGTTCAGTTAAAAACTTATTTAATCGACACGCTCTAATATGCATACGTAATATAAGGATTTTTATACTTCTGCTTGGCCTTAGACCGAATAACGACCCTTAATTTCTTTTCTGTTTGGTTTTTATTCATATTTGGTATTTAATAAACTTACAGTCATTGAACAAACAGAATCATATTTTTTCATTGTGTTGAAAATGTTGAATTTTGTACCGGAAAGTGATGATTTGCGGACAGCATTAGTTTTTTGATTTCCTTTGAAAAGTGCTTCAGAGTCGCATGGAATGCTTGTCGAGGCATATGGTGATCATGCTCTATCAGAAGCAACATGCAAAAGATGGTTTCAACGATTCAGAGGTAATGATTTTGATGTAAAAATGAAGAACGTGAAAGACCACCAAAAAAGGATGAAGACGCCGAACTGCAAGCAATATTGGATGAAGATGATACTTTGATTCAAAAGAAAATGGCAGCCATGTTAAATGTTGCACAACAAACAATTTCAGACCGTTTGAAAGCTATTAAATTATATAAATAGAAAATAATTTTTGCATAGAATTGTCACTGGCGATAAAAAATTTATTTATTTAAAAAAATCGTAAACGGAGAAAGTCATGGGTTAATGCGGAACAACTATCAACATCGACTGCAAAAACAGATCGATTCGGTAAGAAGACAATGCTCTGGGTTTGGTGTGATCTGAAGGGTGACGTATGTAATTAGCTTCTTAAGCCTGGTGAAACTGTTAATACTAATTACTACAAATGAACAATTTGAAACATGCATTGATCGAAAAACGACCGGAATGGGCCAGAAGACATGGCAAAATAGTTTTGTTACACGATATTGCACCTGTATATAAAGCGAAATCGGTTCTGGATACAATCAAAGTACTTGGCTGGGAGCTGCTACTCTACCCGCCGTATTCACCAGACTTGGCACCTTCCGATTACCATTTGTTTTCATCGATGGAACACGCATTGGCTGAGCCATTACCAACCGAATTATTGCAATATAACGATTACCGAAACTTTGCAATATAACAGTCTATCGACCGAACAAACAAGTGCTAATTTATTAATAAATTTTCAGTATATCAAAATGTTTTCCTATTCAATTGAAATTAAATGTAATTATTTATAGGAAATAAACCTTACTACAATAAAACTGTATTAAAGTCAGAAAAATCAAAATTTTATGATTAAGGCAATTTGCAATATTGCTTGTGAAAAGCCATCAAAATAAAATTATGCCTACTTACCCTATTTACTAAAAACAATCATTTTAATATAATATAAAGTTATTTGAAAGCCAAAAAAGTTGTTGTTGTAATGCTCAATAAGCACTATAAGTGATATAAGTACATACTTAAATAGTTGAAAAAAATATTAAATCTGAAATCAAATCAAGACGAAGCAGATGAATGTGAACAAAGAAACAATAGACTTAAGACACAAACTTGTTCAAACGCGATAACGACTATCCACTTATTTTGAGGCTTCAGTTGAAAGTATTCACTAAATAAATGTAGCTTGTGAGTAGCAATAACACACATTAAATCATTATTTACGTCATTACATTAAATTACTTCATTTATGGAGCACAGATTTAGTTTAGATCTAGTTTGATCAGCGGCGTATGCAGAAACAAATTTCAGGGCAGCAGAGATCGTTTGAAGCCCTAAAACCCTCTTTGCATACGCTCCTGAGTTTGATTAAAAAATCGTTAGCGCTCGTTAGTAATTTAGCGCTTACATACAAGCAGCCACAGATAATTAAAGTACATGACAAGTGGTGGGAATATTAAAGATATTTATAAAACATGTTTCGAAGGAATTCAACATTTATTATTCGATGAAATCGTGAATGGATTACAATCAAATTTGGTATTTTAGTAAGTTATATTATAGGTCATGGAGTCACATAGAGTTTTATTGCTATATTTTACTTCGCGTCAGCTAAAATTATGTTTAGACCATCTTCGAATTAGTGATATGTGATATAAACTCAACCGAAAGGAGTTTGATTGAATATATTGAGTTGATGTGGAAGAAATAAACCAGAGGATCGGAATTCATTATATTAGAGATATGAGGCTTTGGGGTTTGAAAGCAATAAACATTATAAATAACTGAACAAATGATGACACCAAACGCCAATTTATGTGGAAGCGTTGGTTGAGAGAGTTTTTGAGACAAGTTCGAAAAAGATAACTTACTTAGCAATTATAAATATGACTCTGCTATTTACGAGAAAATCAAGTTAGCCATATCATTAAAAATAAAAAGATTTTTCATGCACATAAAAAAGTGTAGAGGGCTCTTCAAATACAATATTTATACACGTTTAAGAATGCCAAGTATACTTCGGACAATCTACATGCCAGCATTTTCTTCCCACCATAATTTAGCCTTTAGCCTAGCTCGAATGATTGCTATAATATCTAAATTTAATGAAGTTCTATAAATGAGTATTCATAAATTAGCCCATTGTGAACACGTATAGGGTCCAAACTGTTTGTGATAGTCGACATATTCAAAAGCAATCAGCTGTCAGCAGTGGTCAGCAGTCTGTGATTCCCACAGACCGGGAAATGGCTTCACTAAGCTTCCTGGGTAAAGAACTTTCAGAATAGGAGTTTCCATTGCAATTTGAATTTCAGTGTTTGTTGTTATCGTGTCCTACACAAATGGATATTGAGTGTTGTTGAAAAGCAGTCAGGAGTACTACTGACACATCATCGTCCACACAAATTCATTAAGTTATCTTGCATAACATACAAAACACCTGTAGCTTGATAGATTTAATCTAGCGATGCTCCAACCTCTTTAACCCTTCGTTACGGGGGCGGTGATAATCTCCTAATTCGACCAAGTTACTCGCGATTTTAAGGTCTTGTTGCCTTTCTGCAGGTAGTCGATGTGGATGACACCTTGTAAATTCCAACGCAAAACGATGGTCATCACCTTTACCTCTGATAGGATAGTATTCACCTTCTTTGGAGCAGGTTCGCGGAAAGTCCACTGTTTTGACTTCTGCTGGGTCTCTAGTGTGTACCAGTGGCTCCATGTTTTGCCGGCAGCTACGCCACAATGCAGCGTTTAAACAATGTCAAATATTGTGTATCAAAAACAAAATAAAACGACGAGTCCAGTAGGACTCACACCGGATGAGGCTGTGCAACATATTCCGAGACTATAAAAAATTTCAAAAAGATTTATTATATTATTTTTTAGAGAAGGATGTATTATGAGTATATCCAATTTTTTTAATACAATTTTGTAAAAAGCAAGTAAATTTAATACTACTTCCGCTGAACTTTCAAATCATCCACCAACGTTTAGTTATGCATCGATATTTTTGCAATAGAAAATATTTTGAATTAAATAAAGCTTTACAAAAACAATTTCAAAGGTGTTATGAATTCCGCACCAGACATGTCAATATTAGCACAAAACAAATAAGTGAGTAAAGAGTCAATTAATGAAATTACGAAAATCATGAAAACGATTGAAAAATCTGCACCCAACAACCACTGAGCACAGCGCCTTCAATGAACGCGACGAATTACATGTGTTTACATTTTTTTCACGTAGGATCCCACACAATTTGTCAATCGATTAAAAAAAGATTCGTGTCGATTGGTCGAGAGAAATGTTAAAAAAAAAGTAGTGGTGCTTTAGGCCATATTACTAGAACAACGCAGACCTGTAAATCAGGAAAACCAACCGCTGAAGACGGATTACTCTTCACCACCACAATTCGAGTTTTCACACATCGACTGAAACAACTGCACTT